AAATAATTCGCCACTTGTATGGTGACAAAAACGAAGAAGGAAAACTTGATAAACTACCAAAATGAGTAAAAAGGGCCTGTGAAACTGGAATCTTTACCACTGACAGAAGGTAGTGCCGTACAATATGCGTATCGTACGTAGTAAAAGTGCAATAGTAGGAAATAAAAAAGAGCTACTAATTATAGCTGGTTGATGAATCATAATACACTTGTTCCTCTGTATAATAACATCTTTGTATGTTAATAAAGCATCTTTGAATGCTACAGTCGATTGACATCCCTGTATGTTATAATAGTTTAACATCTTTGTATGATAAACATTATAAAATAGTATATCTTTGCATACTAAAAAAGTATCTTTGAATACTTTAATTGTTTGAACTCAACCGATCTGTGTCCCGAGCTATTGAAACACTAGAATTAAAATAAATAATATAATAAGTATTTAAAAACATGCAAAAATTACGCATTGTTTTGTTCGATTCTTTGCTTGTCGTGCAATACAGAAACATTTTCAAAAATTTTCAATCAAAATATAGAAGTACCAGAAAATGGGCTTTGAGATATTGAAGAGAATGGTGATTTTATGGAAAGTATGATTAAAGAGACAGCAACAATTGCGCGGTTGCTAAGGAATTGGCTATAATGCCTGTAACCTGTAATGAAGATCATGACATGGTTTTTTAAACCACCATATGAGTGGGGCAGCTAAATTAAGGGGCAGTTTATTGTCGAATAAGGTTTAGATGACGCGCCCGCACACATATACATTACGTAGAGGCTCGACATTTTTTTACATTTTTTAGATGAGTTTTGATACTTTGATTAAAGTTTTGATAGCCACGATTAAAGTCGATGTACAGCTAGCAGCAGAATATATGACATTGAAAAAATATGGGGAGTTCATTATCAGCGACAAATATTTTAATATTAAAAATGAGCGTATACCACAAACAACGAACTTGGGGTAATGGTTCATGTCAAACGTTCAAGAACCGACAGAAGATCTGTAGCAATTGATAGATTAAGTTTTTTTTGTAATTCTTAATATAATTAGTAATTCTATTTATTATTACAATGGCTTTTTTAGATAAGTTTTTAAATTCGGTAAACCACGGCTTGGTGTTCGCTTTATAGTAGTTTTCAAAGAAGTGTTTTCCTTTATCTTGCGAGTTATTTATAATGTTGTTCAAGCCGGCTTTAATGCACTTAAGTTTTATATCGGAGAAAATATCAGAGTACGGAATCTCTGTTTGACTAACTATTTTTGATCTCGCCCCTGCCCTAGCAGCAGAGTCTGCGTGCTCATTACTGGTGATACCAGTATGAGACGGAATCCAGATGAATTTTACTATCTTGTTGAGTATGTTTAAGTTGTGAATTTTTTCTTTTATTTTAGTAATTAATGAGGACTCTGTTTTCGAGGTAGACGGTGATGACAATGCTTTTAATACAGATTCTGAATCGGTAAAAATTCTAAAATTGTTGTCGTTAGAGCTACTTATTTTATCCAGTATGGTAGTAATAACAAGAGACTCCGCTGTGAAGATTGAGGCGAGATTGTGAATCTTGAAAGCAAATTGAAAGGTTTCGTATGACGACCAGGCTGCAAACCCCGTGCCACTTACATCCCAATTACAAGGATACGAACCTATCGTATCCTTGTAATTGGGATTGCCATTTTCATTTTTCTCCTTTAAAGGCAGTTTTGAGCCGTCCGTAAAGATATCAATACAATCTCTATTACAGTTATTATTGAATTTGTTTATAAATGCCGTGTTAGGGTCATCTGATTTTCTTATTAACTTTCCAGAGACGTGGTCTACTGGTGGATCAACGAACGCGGACTTGAAGGGGCTACAATATTGATAGTGTCGATCAAATTGATTAATAGAGAGATTATAGAACCATACGTCATCATAGCATTCCGATAGCAGCGATTTTTGTTGGTTGTTTGAATATATTAGAGTTTCGGAAAGATCTTTGATACTCTCTACTTAATCAATGATACGACTGTTGTATATTGACAATTTTTTAAGAACATAGTTGTATCCAAGAATTTTGAATCACAAAGGAGAGAGGGAACGTTGGTTTCAGCAGCAATTAGCGGGGTAACCCATTGCAATACGCAGGCACGCGTTTTGCAATTTTTGTAGTCTGTCAGAATTGCTCTTTGAGCACGGTTGTGTCAAAAATCCATTCTAACCCGTCAAAAATGCATTCTAATTAATGCATTTTTATTGGCATAATCATCGGTTAAGCTTTTAAGACTGGTTTGTCCCCTTAAGAGATCAATTTGGTACGTTTAATAATCTTTCTCTAATTTGGCGTAAGTGAATTTTGCAATTCTTTTTTGAGGCAGCAATCGTCTAGGTTGATTATCTGATTTGGCACTCTTCTTTTCGGTTCAGTAGCGCAATAATAGCTTACGGTCTTCTTAATATGTTAAATCGTCATTCACTTATCACGAAAATTCACAATTATAAAAACAGGAAAAGATATTGAAATTAATAAGATAATTAAAATAATATTCAATGAACAAATTTTCTGACTAGTTTACGTGCACCTATTTCAGACGAACTTTTACATCGCTCATTAGACGATTAAATTTCTCAAGGAGTTTGGAAATGGTTAACGAACTCCGAATAAGATTTTAGAGTTGTGAAGGCTTATCTTTGGGTTGAAGTCTGGAAGAAGGGTAACAACCATCGGGCTTTTTAAAAAGTCTTAGTTTAAGACAATTTTTCTTCTTTATTCCTTCTGGATTTTTAATTTAGCAGTAATGACTCGAGTATTTGACGAGAGTTAGTTTATGTGCACCTTTGCTCAGGCAGACGGTCGGCGGGTGTTTTCTCAACAACTCTAGTTTAGCCAGTCCGAATGTAACTATAGAGCCACATTTATCTAGTTAAATTAATTTCATCTTACTCTCTGTAAAATATAATCGCTCTTATATATCTGTTCTATATATCTGTTTTAGCTAGAGCAACTACGATTTTCGGCAGCAACACTAGTCAATGTCGAGTCGACGTTCATCTTACCAAACTGACGGTGTAAAGATTCAAAGAGTTTATTACCTGCAATAAATCACAAAATTTAAGTAAGTCTACTTTGTAATATATTCACCTATGTACGTTATTATTTAAACTTTTTTTTCTTACCATTTTCCAAGACGAATAATATTTATTTAACGGTATTCTATTCGCTAATTTGGATGTGACGGGTATATGAACTCACTTTTATTTGGACAGTGGTGAATATTTTTATCTCGAAAAAGGACCCTTTCAACTGATAATTGAGATGCTTCTTGAACCAAGTTGGCCGCATTGGAGGCCCGAGCGAAACGCGCCAAGCTTATCAGCTGTACCTATAAGATGATATTTTATAATAATGTCTACTTAATATTATAATTCTATTTCATATAATATACTCTTAATATTTCATTATAATAATAGACATATCTATATGTATGTTGTCTTGGATAAAAAATTCGTTGTCTTTTTTGCCAGTACTGGCCCAGTATTAAGGAATCGTTCTCGAAGTAATGATTATGATGGTGAGTTATTCAAATTTTACATGTCGTTATTTTGCAAGTCAATTAAAACATATTTGTTTACGCCAATACGGTAAATAGTTGGTCGTGGATAAAGTGTTCAGCGCAAATTTCTCATTATTAAAAATGAAAAACTATACTTTCACTTTGAACATGATCGAAGTAATGCAACTATTGCAGTCAGCTTGAAACAGTTTCAACCTGCACTAGACTGAAAATGCTTAAATTTTCACTGATTCTTCACTATAAGGAAGCTAAACATTTTCTACTTCATGTTGTAGAAAATAAATGCAAAAAATTCGCTTACTTACAAATATTGCATAATCGACATCTGTTCAATATGTGTGGCTTCTACATGAAACAAGAAACTGTTGATTATTTAGAGCAAAAATGTTGGCAATTACGTTCGAAGCTGCTAATGAATTAAGCCATGCAACCATAGCTCAGGCCATTCGTGCTGGGAGCTGAGGCGCTGAGAGTTTTGTATAAACAGAATGTGCTCGAACTAAGGGCTTTTTTATATGCAAAAACTGCTCCGAATAGATGATAATAGATAAGATTTTGTGCTTACTCTACACAACATATAAGCACAAAGAATCGACCATATATTAATTATATACGAATATTAATAAGATGTTCACAAAAAAATATTTTTTTATCTCGAAAAATGTTGAAAAGTCTCAGAATTAATTACGGAACATCCTATTATTTTTTCAGAATGTTTGAAAGTGATTTTGGGAGCGACCGAAAAATTTTAAGAAAAATGGAGGATTTTTTTTTAATAATTTTAAGACTTTTTCTCAAAACTCAATAGCTCATGCTTCAAAAAAATTAAAAAAGTCTATTTTTTCTCTTCGGCAACTATTTTAAAATTTTTTTAACTGAACTAACAATGATTTTGTAAAATACAGACCTCAAGAGCCCATTCCGGATACATTTTTAATCCCATAGAAAATAATAAAATGTTTAAAAAATTAAAATGAAAAAAAAATTTGACCTCAAATTGACGCGTTTTTTGGTAAATCTGCAATTGATAATTGTAAAGGGTTAATTAAGATAATTTTAAACACCACCAATAAAAATAACCCCCTTAAAAACATAAGATTTAGTGGTTTTCATAATTTTTCTCATTTTGACTGAGACATAATATAAGCGGAAAGTTGAATGTCAAAATCGTGTCCACCCAGCGTGAGTTAGTTATGAAAAATTTTTAATTAATTTTTTTTTCGAGACAGTATTTGAATCATATTCTTATTCTAATAAATGCAAAAACATATTTTTATATAATCGATATTTTAATTTGTATTATTACATGAATTTGAATTTCGCGCTAACTGCAGCTGCTGCTTTTGTGCAGAGCGCATCGAAAGAGAACTATATAGGAAAGAACTAGCGGAACGGGACTGAGGACTGGGCAGTAAAGAACTATAGAGAAGTGTAGTCTACACTCTACTGTCTAACTGCAGTATAACCTCGTGTTTCATTCATTCTCGAGTCTCGTACAGTCGAGTCACGTGGACTTGACGTTTGTTTTGAACTATTGTTTTGAATTGTTTTTGAATCGTACCCGAATTATTTAATTGTTCAATTGTCACTTGAATTTCATTATGAAGTAAGTTTTTTCATTATAATTCAAAATATCCATGTTAATTCATAGATTGTTAAATTTTTATTTATTTTTTTAACAGGCCAGGACGTGGAAAAAAATTCTCTAAAAAGAAGCAAGAATTTAAACCCAAAAAAAAGAAGGAGAAATTTAATTATCATACTTCATCTTATATTAAAGACCGCAAGGCTAGATATGAAGAAATTGAAACCCGTCGCAAGAGAATAGAAGAAAATAAAGCTAGACAGAATAGTCGTAAATCAGCTGTACAAGAAGTAATGGAAGTAGAAGAAAATCCATTGAGTGATCTTTTAAAATCATTTGGTAATAAAATTGATAATGCAGCTGTTGATTCTGATTCTGACAGTTCTGAACCAGTTGATGAAGGTAGTGATAATGAGGAAGATATGGATGAGGGTGAAGAAAATCAGGGAAATGATAGTGTTTCAAATTCTGATGAAGATGATGAAGATGCTTATGATGTTGGTAAGACAGAAAACAGTTATACTGAAAATGATACTGCAGATGACGGTGAAAATGCAAAACAAATAAATATAGTATTTAAGGATAAAAATGAAGAAGATGATCAAACGGAACAAGAAGATGCAGGTCATGTTTATGATCCATTTTCTATTCATTTGAATCATGATCTAGATTCTAAACTTTATGAAGTTTTAACTACTACGCCTGTGTCAAATGAAATTGGTCGATTGACATGGCCATGCTTAGGAAATCTCCAATATGAAATACCTAAAACAAAAAATGAAGAGTCAACATGCAAAAAAGAAAAATTGACTCTTTTAAATAAACAAACATTTGCTGCTTCAGGTAAACCTCCCAGACTCATCAGCAAAGTCAATTGGAATGAATTGTATGTAAAGTCTATGATTCAAAATAACTTATTAAGAGCTAATTCTGATAATCTACCAGCTAACGTGAATGAAACAAGCAGCCCTCTGACTCAATTACAGAAAGAATTGTTTTCAGTTATGAATCAATATCAAGATTTATTGTACTGTCAAAGAAATTTTAACAATGAATCACAAATTAGATATATTTATTGTTTGCATGCTGTTAATCACATCTTAAAAACAAGAACTAAAATTTTGCATCATAATGCCAAAATTCAAAAGGCCAAGTTAAGTGATATGAGTGAAATTCCAGATGAATATAGAGATCAGGGACTAGTTAGACCCAAAATACTGATTTTAGTACCGTTCAGACATTCATGCTTGAAAATTGTTGAATTGTTAATATCTATTTTTATTGGCGAAGATAAGGGCGGCTCTGTAATAAATAAATCAAGATTTATGCAAGACTTTGGTGGTAATGAGATTTCACTGCCAAAAAGAAATCCTAAGCCTGAAGATTATGAACTTACTTTCAAGGGTAATACAGATGATACATTCAAAATAGGTATTTCAATAACCAAAAAAGCTCTCAAGTTATATTCAGACTTTTACTCGTCAGACATAATCATATCATCAATATTAGGATTAAGGATGACCATAGGAGCTGAAGGTGAAGAAGATAGAGATTTTGATTTTCTCGCATCAATTGAAATGTTAATAATGGATCAAATGGAAGTGTTTTTGATGCAAAATTGGGACCATCTTATTCATGTTTTAGATCATTTACATCTTCAGCCAAAATCTTCACACAACACAGATTTTGCACGAGTGAGGAGTTGGTGTGTCAATGGATGGAGTAAATACTACAGGCAAACTCTGATGTTCTCAAGTCTTAAACTTCCAGAAATAAACGCAATATTCAATAAGAGGTGTCACAATTATGCTGGCAAAGTTAGAGTAGTTAATCCAGTACTATCAGGCACAATTAATCAAGTCCTTGTACCATTCCCACAATACTTTCAACGATTTGATGTGCGGAACCACTCCAAAGCTATTGACACTCGCTTTGAATTTTTTATTTCTAAGATTTTACCAGAGTTCAAAGAAACTATAATGAATCATACTCTCATCTTTGTTCCTTCTTATTTCGACTATGTGAAGCTTCGAAATTATTTCCGCAAAGAAGAGCTAAGTTTTGGTCAAATTTGTGATTATACACCTGATTCAAAAGTGGCCAGAGCCAGAGATATGTTTTTCCACAGTGAAAAACACTTTTTATTGTACACTGAAAGATATCACTTCTTCCGCAGACTAAAAGTCAAGGGTATACGACATATAATTTTTTATAGTCCACCAACATTTCCACACTTTTACAGTGAAATGTGCAATCTGATGCAAGAAGGATACCTTAATCCAAAATCTGGTTCAACAAGCAATATGAAAATAACGACAATTTACTGTAAGTACGACGCACTGCAATTGTCTTCTATTCTGGGCAATGAAATGGCTGGAAAAATTATCAACGCTAACAAGGCATCTAAAATGTTCATGTCAGAAAGGATATAGAATTGAATCTTGAATAAGGTCAACTGTAAATAATTTTGAAAAAAAAGAAAAAGAAAATAAACTTACAAATTTTGGTATTAAAGGTTTTGAAATATTTATTTTACATCCAGACTTCTTACAAGATCAAACGTATAAATATCACTTTTTTATTCTAGATACATATTTTTCTTTATAGATTAAATGAATAATAAATTAATATTACAATACATCTATAAAAGCAGACACATCTATACAGCTTAATGTTTCACTTTTTCTCGTAACTTGATGGTTATATCATGCTATATTGATAATTAATAACTGGACTAACAGTAGCAGTTTAGAACTAATATGAAAGTGCTAATTCGGAGGCTGTAGTGTATACAAAGACAATTATATTTTGCGACAATTGTATTGGAAAATTGCCTTAATACATAAACACATTTTGCGCTTACGCTACAAACTCCGAAAATGCACTCTGTGGTAATAGGCCTATTTACACAAAGTAACTCATTTGTGTTAGTAAAATTCAATATAATATCTAGTATCTATAACTTTTGGCGAGTGTGATAATAATACATTATTGATAATTCTAATAGGAAGCCTTGAATTTACAAGCAATAGATGATCGTCACCAGAGATTAACAAAATATTCGAGCTAAAAGTACAGAATTAAAATTGAAAAGTTTATCACAAAGAATTGATAGAAGTTTATCGTATTACATTGAATATATTTGCATTCGCAAAGAATCTCAATCCCCATCCTGTCGCGTATAATTACAAACTGAGCGCGCGCGTATCGAATTAGCACGACAACGTCAATTTCATCGAACATTCATTCAATTCCATCAGCGATCGGATATGCGCTCTCCGCAAAATAATTCAGAGCCGTACAGTTGATTCATTTATCCGCGCGGCTCAGTCGTCGAGAAGGTCTTCGGCGGCGGGTAGCATCGTCGCGTCGCGATAATCCTCGTTGATGCCGCCGATGATCGGCGGATCCGTCGCCTTCGGATAATAGATGTCGTCCTGCTGCGAGTGCGAGCTCGGCAGCGTCGTCAAAATCTTCAGAAGACTCTTGGAGCCCTGATGCTGTTGCTGCTGCCTGGCTCGTTCGGAGCCTTCGTTGAACTTGTTGGACGTCGTCGCGGGTAGCGGCGAGTCCGAAGAGCCCGTCCGTTCGTACATCGTTTCTGAAAAGCCCAAGACTGTATGAATCGGAGCGTCACGCATTGAAAAATTGGATATAAGATTATCAGTGTGTGTGTGTGTTTGTGTGTAGGTGCGCGAGAAGGACACGAATACCGATGTAACAATCGTAGAAATAGACCACCGGTAAAAAGGTCGAGAGAGAAAGAGAGAGAATAAAGTGAATTTTACCAAAGACACTGGGGACCTCGTCGTCGTCGCTGATATCCTCGTTGATGGCCAGCACGAGCGGCGTGACTTCGTTGCAGGGCGCCTGGCCGAGCTTGCCGGCGGCCGCCGTGAGATTGAGCTGCTTGAGCTGCTTGAAGTGCGGATCCGACGGGTCCCAGATGTACATGTAATAGAGCGACAGGACGATCGCGGCCATGCTCACGCATATGATGTAGGCGACGACCGTGAGTACCCGCACGAGCTTCTGCTTGTGCTTGGGCTCGTAGAGCCGGTCCTTGCTCTCCTCGCCGGCGAACTTGACCTCGTTGGGCGCCTTGGCGTCGGCGTGCCTCGTGCCCAGCGTACGGCTGATGCTCGCCATCACGTTCTGGGCGCTCATCTTACGGGGTATCTGCATCATGAGGCGCTCCAGTGCGACAAACTGTAACGCTCGATCGACGGCTGGACGGTGCGGCCCAACAATTCCGATTGCGGATTATTATTCATGCTTCGAAAATTATATCGCGAGTCGTCGATTGAGAGTTTGATCGGAAAAAAACCGCGGATATGCGAGCGATCGATTTGGGATTTTATATCGAGCCCGAGACGTAGAGCTGCCCGCGGAGCGATTGCAAACGACCGACTGCCTCTCGTGTCAAGAAACATTTTTGGACTCTCGCACGCAGTTCCGTGAAATAGATTCGAACCAAAAATACATTTTTCAATGATTCGTTTCTATCGTGCGTTTTGATACGGATGAACCAACAATAAGCAGCAGCGCGTCCTATTCATTCAGTAGTGAAAAAAAGATGCTTTTATATGTTTGCCAATTTTCAAACATTCTTGATAGTTCAATTTTGATTAAAGAACATCGTCAATATCGAGTTAAATTTTAATTTACGTTGTTCGCGAGGTAGAGTACGCGTTCACTCGAGAGCGATATGCAATCTTTTCATGACCTTTGTACGAAAAAGGCATTTAATTAAGCAAATGACTCCAATTCTTGCACGCGATTCTTGAAAAGCCCTACTTTTTAAGTATTCAGATGTTCTCAATATAAAGCTCAACTTAATGAAGTAGATGTACTGTAGAAAATAATTTACCGCTTTGTCGCTCGTCGATTTTTCTTGTGAATCGTTATTATTGTAAAAATGCAAAAAATTTCATCGCATATTGACAACGCTCATCACGCTGAATTATCCGATCAAACCCAAAAACTCACAACAGAATAGAAAATATCTTACCCGCTTAAGCAGCGGCGCTCGGTCGATCAGACAAAAAATTGACTCAACACACACGAAATTATATCGTGAGCGACGCAAAGCTGCTCTCTCTTTGCGTTAAATCCTCGAAAATTCGAGGATTAACTGAAGAATCTGCACCGATCAGCTAATTAGCTTCGACTCGCCTTGCTAACGTTTTCCATTGTGCATGCGTACACACAAATATATCGCTATACGTGTATACATATATTGGCAAGAGTTGCTTTGATGACTTTGAAACTTATCGACTACTGAGCTTCTTCCGATAATACCAAGGTGCTATCAAGGTACACTCGCCAAACATTTTTGTGCATGAAACTGTAGATTGATTTTTATCTATACAACGAAGATCTACGAGAGTTACACCTGGTCCGAAAACACGTCTGTATTCGTCACTCGATGCTGTCTGAAAAAAAAGAGGCTACTTCGTCGGTCGTATCAACACATGCTCACACACAATACCCGACGCAGGACTCGTGCATTTCGTTCCTGCTAATTTTTTGTCAATCATTAGCACCACATTAAAGTCGTTCTTGCAGCACACGTAAAAGCTCGTGGACTGCTGTTGCTGCTGCGAAGCGACATGAAAGATCGGCGCAACGTTTGGCGCGCAGCTTTCAACGGCGCAAGTCCAGTATCGAGCTTTGCAATACACATGCATTACACTCTTGATCCAAGGATCGATCGAAGAAAAGCTCTGGAGGTAAGATGGCGTTTCGCGGCTACTGCAGGTATGCATCATTTCTAATTACCAACATGAGCTTTGCAAGTTCGACGCTGCTATACTAGATGGCGCGTTAAGTTTTGCAAGTTCAGCGAGCAAGTTCAAATTAATTTGTCTATCAAATCGATTGATTAATTTATTCTTTTTAGTTGAATTGACTCGTTTCACGATCACAAAAACAATAAGAAGAATTTAATTATTTTCACGTTTTTTCAACTAAATACTATTTTGAAAGTTAATAAAAATTTGGATGAAAAATCAATGAAAGTTGAATAAATTAATTGATTCCATTGTAAGTAGAAAAACGTATTGAAATATTAGCTTCAGTACTTTATTTGAACTAGCCTTCAAAATATTTTAGATACTTGCAAAAATAAAAAATTGTATTCGATCAAAAAAGAAACGAAGTAAGAGATCTTTTATTTTGACTATAGCTCGCTAGTTTAAAACACGAACACGAATTGAATTGCGTCAAAAAATGTTTACTTTTATAATCTCAACTTTACGAAACGGTCACAACGATATGAGCTTTTTTAGCCCGAGAATCGCGAATTAATAAATAAAACGGCAAGAGATTATTGAGAATTCGTGCATCATACGTATAGACCGGCGAGATACATTCAACGAAGTAGGTGCGTGTAGTTTCGCGCGCGGCGTCGACACGGCGGTGTTATCGGCCGCTGCCTAGCTGGGAACCTTGACATACACAGGGGAAACTAGCGTATACGCGATCCGCGAGCAGTGTAGCGCAGCTGTGGCATATGGAGCGCTTAAAAATATACGCCTACATCCTATACAGTTTGATCGATCGGCGCGCATTAGGACACCTGCACTCGACCTGTACGCGCGTGTGTGAGTGCAATTGTACATGTGCAGCGCAAGTAGTATACGTGTGACGTTCGGTCTCTCGCAAGCACATCAACGTGCCGTGCGCGGCTGAACCGTGTGCGGCGGAAGCTCGCGTTAAAGACGCGTGACCCACGCGCTACTACTCCTCTGTTTGGAATTTCGACCTGCTCCCGATTATGTGCCCCGCGCGCCTATGTACCGTCACTGTATATCATGTACGCGGCTAGTGTGTACTGTCCCTCCGGCTGATCGCCGATCTGATTTGACCGTTTAAGACGCGCGCGTATACATGTAATATTAGTGCCGATCCATGGCTCGACGATCCGCACTTATGCCTCTGTCCCATGCACTTTGTTTCTGACCACACAAAGATCAATGTCGTCGCGTGTGGCTGATGTTCGACCGAGACTTTACTCCACCGTCGTTTAAGCTCAAATTCTGCGTATTATCATATAAATCTGTATGAGAATCGTCGTTGATTCGAGAGTCGATATAATCCCGTGTATCGTTTTCGCTACATCATCGTCCGGATCGGCTTCCGAATATATTGTGCTTGCGCGCGTGAGTAAGCTTGATCGTTCGATCCATAACTTTGATTTTACTTTCGGAAAATTTGAATTCTCGCCCCCTCATGAAAATAACCGTTGCCCGTAATCCGATTTGCTCCGAATCGATTTGAGTTCAATTTAAAAATTCATGCTCGAAACATCCATTTATTCGGCGAATGAAACAATTTTTTCGTTTAGCGCTATTGTTTAAAAAATAATTTAATCGGCGAAGCTTCAAAGCCTTTTCATTACAGTTGATGCGTTATTATGCACGACGAGCGACAACGGCTGCACCTCTTATAATAAATAATCTATTTTTTTTCTTTCTCTCTCTTTACGTGTACCTTGTTTGACATCAAACTAACGCATGCACGCACGCGTATTATATGCATAAAAACTACTACTGGTTCTCTAATGAGTTTTAAAACAAATTTTAATCTCGAAAAATGAAATGAGCTTGAAAGGCCAAAGTTAAATTGGCGAAATAAATCTCTTTCATTGCATGTAAAAAATGTCAATTGATAAACAAATTTTTTATTATATTCTATAAAATCATTGAACGTCAAAATCTCGCTCGATTTTAAATAAAAATAAATTGTTCTCGATCGTTACATAAAATTGCACTCCTTTTTTACAAACGCAAAATCCTTTTACAGATTGATTGCGATTTTTTAATACCAAAAACTGACAAATACTAAAAGAGTTGATCATCTGAATGCTTCGTTTATCGGCTTATCGTCCGACAAAATACTTTATACTCATTCAATAAATCGGCGACTTCAAACGAGCCTAGATAAGTCAAAAGTTGAATCGCGAACGGGCGCGAGCGTGCTCGCGGGGGAGTTCATTTATAATACGAACTGCGTGAAAGCTCGACAGCGCTCTAAACTAATGCAACACTTCGGTACACACACGCACACCCACACCCACACATACATGGTTAGAATGTCAGATATATTATCTGCGACGTATACCTATCCGTGTACAGGCGCACACAAGAGCAAAGAAGCCCCAAAGCGACCCTGTCCCGTTTATTACGCGATCTTTCTCTTTCTCTAGTTCGTAACCGCTCTCTACATATATACAAGCTATATATACAGCGCGCCGATAATATACGCTCGTATACGTCCAAGATCCTGTTTCAGTGCCATTTCTAAGGTTTTTTTTCTATCTTTTAAACGGCCACGATTTTTATTTTTAGCCCGCGCGAATTTTCTTCGGCCATTATAGCCGCCGAGGTGGCTAATCTTCGAGCGTGAGGTCAATTTTTCCTCGTCGAGTTTTCTTTTCATCATCAACGCGAGCTTTTTTTAATCTTGGGTAAACTGATGGATTTACCTTAATCCCTTTTCATGTACTCGCTCTCAATCCTTTATACTTTCATTTCTCGGTCGTTGTTATCGCGCGTGGATTAATGGTACAACTGGATTTATTTGTAAAGCAGGCGATACTTGATTATAATAATAAACGAGTTCTTCTCGCGCGCTTGTTCTTGTGAATGTATGCGTCCGTGTGCCTATCTTCGTGTGTGCGTGTGTGTACTCGCCTCTACGTGTAAGTCTGCGAGTGTGATCGTACTCGCCGGGGCGTGAAAGCACACGATAATTCATCTTGTTTGCCTATCTACTTTAGAAGACCAATAAATATCATTTTATAGCACACATAATAGAAAGATGACTGGTGACTAATGACGAAAAGCTCGGAAATTTTGAGCTTGCGTCTATATCAAAATGAAATTTATGCTTCCATGCAATCGTTTTAAACTTCTGATGTAAAAACGTTACGACAAACTGGATTCACTCAATATAGCACACAATCAAATGATATTATTTAAAAATAATTAAAATTTTGTGCTTGACAAAATTGTTGTACTTATAAATGTAAGTAATCGCTGTTTTGCCAGGAAAAGCTCAACGTTACGCATAGTTATGAATTTCTACATTTATGGAGTCACATCAATTTAGTGTTTGAAATTTCAATCCACTTTTTTTTCTTTTCTCTCTTTCTCCCTGTTTTCCCTCTTTGTATTTCTATTCGACTCTATTTCCGTGCAAGAATCATAAGCAACCGTCGTAATTGACCATTTCATAAATATGTCTCGATGGTAAACGAGCGTATAAAATATCGTAATAAGAAACCTCACTCGATCGTATATTCGGCGTGTGTGCTTGTGGATGTATTTGTGAGGTAAGCTGTTATTTCCTACGTACCTTGTGTACTGTAAAAAAGCGTCGGGTTCGGAGTACTGATCGAGCCTCCTTGTCTTCGCTTAATGCTATCCGATTGTATCGGCACTTCGAGATGCTTCAGAGCGAAGGGCGTCTGATGGGGCTTTTTGGCCGTCAGCCTCGTCTTTTTGATCGAACGAGTCGTCATCGACGCCGGAAACGTGACCGTTTCCCTCGTGGTGGGACTCGTCGTCGTCGTCGTAGTCATCGTCGTCGACGGCGTCGTGATCGTCGTGGTTTCGGCTGTCGTGAAGCTCTCTTCCTCGCTCGCAACGATTACTCCGTTGTGTTTGGTAACCGTTGCCGATTGCGACGAGTCGCTACAAAATATTCGTCTCGATTACAATGAAAAACTTCGAAACGAGTGCACGTGTGCCACAAAGGCGCCAATTATACATCGGGAAAGTTTTTTTTTTCACTGGCGGCACTACTACTCCCATTGGTCAAGGCCAGAAATAATTTATCAATCAATGGATGTTCCAATTGATAAGGAGAAATATTAATCTCGCGCCGAGCCGTGTGTCAAAGAATATATAGGAATGCGGTCAAAGTTCACGCGCTAACATGCAGCAGTAATGAGTCTATACTCAAACTTATGCAGATCTATTACACGTGCGCGCGCGTGTGTGAGTGCGTGCAGAGGTGTGCTTCCATATACGCTATATAATACACTAGCAAGGCACCACATACTACGAGTGCCAGTCAGACATGAATTTATCGACTACTTTTGTACGTACACATAGCATGGGGCATTTTTTTTTTTGCCTCGCTCGAAAATATAATCACAAGATCGCGTTAGCAATCATGCTTAATCTTGCGATCGGGTGTACAAAATTTGATCTTTATTAATGTTATTTTTTGAAATTTGTCAAGTCATTACCAGTTTGACGAATAATACGATAATAATAGAAAAAAAAACTGTCAGAGAGATTTATTTTTACGTTGAATTAGTGCTGTGAATGCCAAACAAGAAAGCCTGTGATTTCGCTCGTACATGCACATACCAGCTGCATACGTGTAAAAGCCTTTTTGTTTCGGTTTGAGAGCTATGACCGCATTTTGTTCAAACTTGCAAGGTCAACGAAGTAAATAGACTGTAATAGCAGTAGGTCTACGTTGGTTTTTTTTTGCTTTCTCTTTTTCTTACCTTGACAAACCCGATTCTCCCGGGGTATCCATTATCGTGGACGTTGCCTCGCTCGTCGACTTCGTCCTGTCGAAATTAGCGCTCAGTATGGCGTTGAAATTCTTGAGAATCTCGCGCCTCGTCTTGGACGAGGAGTTCTCCTGTCTGCTGTGTCGCTCGCCGTAAAACACGTCCAGCGGCTGCACATCGGCCAGAGTCATGGCGTGGACAGGATCGGCCACCGGCAGTTTGATCGAGAGCGGCGCCGACGACGAGGGCCGCTGATGATCGAGCTCTTGGCGCAGATACTCGATGGCGCCCTCGAGCCTCTCGTGATGCTCGGCCTGAGCTTGCGCGTGCATCAGTCGTGTATTCGGCGGGTGCCACAGGAAGACGTAGTAGATGCTCAGGACGATGCCGACGAACGACACGGACACCATGTAAGCCGTCACGGTTATCAACCGGATGATTTTCTTCGGCTCCCGATCCTCGTACAGAGCGTCTTGTTTGGCTTTGTCGGCCGGATTCTCGTTGCCGCTCATCGTGGATTATAATTCGCACGCGCGCGTGTCCGCAGAGGCTATTCGAGCATAGAATTCGAGCGACTCATGCGCGTCACCCGGGCGATTAACTTTTTTGATCGCTTTTTATCTCGCGCGTTCGTAACGCAGAGCACGACTCGAGTTCGGGAGAGACTTGCAACTGCGCTTTAATGAAAAATATCCTGTTTATGAGATAGTAAATTAGCTATATATTCTAAAAATAACGCCACGTTAATAGTCGGTTATGTTGTTTAATAGAGAGAACAATTTGGTAGGTAGTAGCACAACACTCGACTGGCTCGCGCGCGCACAGCAATCACATCTTTCTTGGCAATTTCTTTTTATACCTCCATTTTATTACTTACTGATGTGCGTCGAGACAAGAAGGAAGAAAAGTTTCTTGGAACGCGATCTCGAATTTTTTTAGCTTTATATACCGATCACAGGGTGCACTGGGTGGGCGCACGATGGAGCGAACTCCGTGGAGCTCCGTCGAGCTTCTCCCTATGCAAAAGTAGACAGACGAAAAGAAAAAAAACAAAAAAACAACAGCAGATGAATCTAGCGGGTGATCGCGGTCGGACAAAATAAAGCGAGCTCTCGAGCCAGGCGATCGCAACGAGGCACTTGTACGACTTGGTCTTTTCCTCGCGATCTCTCTTTCTTTCCGACCAGTTTTGTTCGGCTTATACTCGCGCTATGCGCGCAGCAAAAGCACAAGTCGAGTCTGCCGTCGCCGCTGCAGCTTGCGAGCTTAAAGGCACATGTGAGACTAGTAGTGAACTGCTACTTGACTTGCTTCTTTCGCCTATGTGCGATGTGAGCTTGTGTACGTATACGTATAGCGATCGTCTGCTGCCGCTGGGCAGTAGCAAAGCTTCTACCTCTACTGCCACTACTACTACTACTACTACTAATATTGCTAGTTCAACCACTACAACTAACACAGGCCGCTGTTGGCTGTTCAGATTTTGTATAGCGTGTAAGAATAGTCGGTGTAACGTTGCAAGCTCGCTTAGGAGCTCTCTCGATTTTTGCGCTCTGGCATTCAACTTACAACGATCCCACGTGTGTACCGTCAAAGCTTCGGAGCTGCTGCTGCGCAGACGCGCGAGATATGTATACGTATTCGCTCTACGCGTCTCTCTCTGCTCTGTAATTTTATTATTTTTTTTTCTTACACTGACTCACTGGCGATATATAATATGTGTACACACCCGATATATGTTCGTAGGGTATAACATATCCGAGGCGCGAGCGTATATAAACATTCGCCGCGAACGTCGACTTTTTCGCCGACGTATAAGGAGGGATGCGAGAGAGAGAGAGACGAGCGGAGAGAGAGAAGAAAAAAAATGATCGAGCGCGCGCTTACTCCGCGTCTCTGTTTACTTTGCGAGTTACCCGTTTCATGGTATTTTTTTCCTCCACTCGTGTTATGTACTCTGAAGGCTTTTCAGTAGGGACTCGGCGGACGAAGATAATGAAAAAGAAGTCTTATGGTAGACACACTGATTGCTTGATATTGCCTTGGGGTTGTTTTGCGATACTTTTTTATGAAATTAAATTATACTTTTATGGAAGGTAAAAAGTCTCCTTTTTGGGGACGGTGAAACAATTGTTAAAAAGCACAAAACAAAACTTGACAATGGCTCTACGTCCTACTTGCTTCGTTATTTTCCTTTTCGATTTAATCGCGAGGTGAAAATCACGTAGCCTAATGGTTGTACTCGTTATAAATTGATCTGAACATCGAAGACGATCCAGTTTGTTATGAAATGTGTTTTCAAGATAAATTACCAGCTTAAATGATGGACATGTTTTTGAGTCGCGGTGATTATGTCAATGCTAAAAACGGTCGAAACGATCGATACCGCTTTACGAATCGCTGTATCTCATTTCAACAACAACGTAATCGAAGTTCTTTGAATGTACAGGAAAGATATTACTTCATTAAAATATATTCCTTCGGTATTAAATAAAATTTTTTTGTTACACTTGAAATGTTGACGAATAAAGGAGATATTATGATATTAATTAAAGTTCTTCAAATATAATGATGGAGTTGATAATTAAATCACTTGCACCACTTGGGAGTTATAAAAGGGTGTAAGCCGATCAGTATTCAATCACTATATTTTTTGATTTAAACAAATACTTGGAGAGTGAATTTAGAGACAAAGGTTTTTGTCAGTAGCTTACGTTCTTATAATTTTAAAAGAAACAGTGCGTATCTGTATTTAAAATAATTAAATTTCGTAAATAAATCAATAACTAATTCAAGGATAAAATCAGTCTATTAAATATACTTTCTAATTATCAAGTACGGGTAAAAAAATATATTCTTGAATTTAAAAAGCCCAACATAAATTTTCAAATGTTATGACTATCTAATTTATTAAAATACTTTGAAATGAGGTCTTCGGCCTTTATCATATTTTAATTCATATCACCTGATAATCAATCATCAGGTTTATTCAAAAATCAATTTTTTAAAAAGTTATGTCAATTGTTTAGGGTCAGAAATGAAAAATGATCGCAATATATAGTACCATAGTTCACATACCTGAAATTGATTTTTTTGTGATGCCTAATTTTAATATCATAGATTCACAGTTTCAACACAAATATGCGCGTGTACGCGCCCATTCAACAATTAAAAAATTAAAAAATCCAATTTTCAAATGAAAAAAAAATCACTGTGAGAAGCTTATTAACATCTGCTCGCTTGTACTGTCTGAATAACACTGATGTAAACTTGTCAGTAATATTGAGCCAACCAGCGATATTAAAAAGGGATATTGAAATATAATCGCTGTATATGCTCGCCAATACAATACTTTTATCGGTTCCGAGAAATTCGTAGCTTCGAAGTCCCCTTCGATTCGAGCAAGTGTAGAGCTCTTTTAAAACTGAACCATTGCACATATAATTCCTTATTTTCAATGAATGCTTTGAATCTGATTTTCTGCGATATTATTGGATAGATATTTCGTATTAAAATTTTCAATTTGGGAAAATTGGTACGATGAAAAAAATGTAGTTAAATCAATAAAATATAATTTGTTAAAAAATGTTCATTTGAATGAACAAATTTATGTTTGAATTTAATGATTTCATCGTTCAGGTAAATAAATAATTGATTGAGACTAATCAAATTATTATTTTCTCAGAAAATGTCTTTTTCATCTATGCCTTAATAGGTTTATTTTTTTATTTTTTTGAAATACATCAACTACCGTAATAAATAGAATGTCAGTTTTTTACATAATAAAAATTTGCAATAATTATTCGTCTCAATCGTTTCGAAAAATATTCAAAATAATTAATCAAATTGCATTTGTTGCAGTTTTATCAACTGGGCTTAGTCTTAGTTTTAACTATATCCACGAGGCAGCGCTGATCGTGGATTCAATGATGACAGCTTACTATTGCTTTTCTCCTCTCTATGTATGCTCTGTTTTCTCGTGTAGATGACGCAAAAAATTCGTCTTGTTGTGCATTACGGATTACGGAGATTGTCAGAATCAAAACACAACACAAAAAGCACACAGACTTCTTCGTACTGCTAGCAGACATCATCGCATAATTGCAGTTATGCGTCATATATTGCATCTAGGCTTGAGTCGATCATGAAGAAGTGTTCCAAACGTGCATTTTAATACGATTGACAGTTTCTTGGTGTAGTTTTTTCATTTAGCATAAGAAGATGTGAGATCGAAAAGCTATGAATAAGATTGTAAATAATTAAGATTATTCATTTAAGCAACTGGGAATAGGTTGATTTTCTCTCTGGCTACTGTTCTTGTCGATATCAGAACCATATTTTTTGCCTATTAGTGAGGTAATGGTCAGTCTCACCCGACCGTTGCACTCATCTGGAAGTGTGAGTGTATTGTTTACTTTTTTCTTTGTTTAGAATTATGATTTATGATCCATTAGTTATTTTGGTTTTTTTCTTATAAAATATTCTATGCTATTTATTGCTAATTCATCATTAATCAAGGGCCAAGAGCATTCGAAATGTTATTCTGTAACCTATTTAAATTGAACATTTATAAATGTATCATTTAAACAACTTTACTTTCAAACTTTCAATAATAAATGTACTGCAGAAATAAAGATTGCAGACTTTTTCTTTAATCTACAGATTTTCTTGGAGCTAGCGATGACTAATGCATTAGCTGATAATTCTTCATTATAGTATAAATTATAAGTAACTTTAAAATACGTTTAAACTTATTTAGTTTCAAGGTGCCGTATTTTTTGATAACTCTAACATGGATGATGATGACTGCCTTGTCCCTGTTGGGGATCCTCGAGAACATGATCATTTTGAAAAGTTAGATACTGTACCAATGGTATCCGTCCCTCTTATTGCAGGAGTAAGTAATAATCTTTTGTGCAGCATAAATATTTTAGAAAACTTACGTTTTACCATTATTTTTTTAGGTTGCCTTAGAAATCACTGGTATAATATTTATATCAATATGGCCTGAAGAAGAAAACAAATGTGATACTTATTTCATTTTACTGTATCTTCATTGTGCATTCTGGTTGCTAATTATGATTGTAGACTATTTTGTGAAAGAAAAACATCATCATCTTAGAATAAGCGGATATTTGGATTTTTATCAATCAACGTATCAGCATATAAGAACACCATTCTTTATATCATCTTTGTGGAATGCAGTATATCTATTACTATCAGTTATTTTACACCATGCTCATAAAAATAACTATGAAGATTACTGCAGGAGGTCTGAATGGTTTACTCCTTTGAATTATATTTTACTTCTTACTACTTTTGAACTAATGATAATAGTTCCAGTTTATATTAACTATATCAGTGAGTATTTTTAAGAGCTTTTTAAAACAATGTATCAAAATGACTTGAAAAAATGATTGATTTTACCATTAAAATTTGCAGAAAGAGTTAGAAGGTTTAATAGGACTAAACCACCTCCTGATGTCACTCGTGAAGAATGGCTTACATCATTTACCCAAGAATCTTTTGCTGGTGAAGTTGGTTTTGAGCAAAAAGGACTAAATACCGCTGAATTACTTGAAAAACAAGCTGATTTAATAAGATATCTAAGAGACCATAATGTTAAATTAAGTATAAGAATGATGCTTTTGGCTTCACAAGTAAGAAATATTCAGAACGCATAAGTTTATTTTTGTAAATTATAAATTTTTGTTATTTGAATCATGACAAGCAATTGAATTTATAAAGTGGCATATTGATACATGCTGCATGGTCCAATATCTTTTTAAAATGGAATACAGCATCGTAGAGTCATTTAATTTGTATCTTTTGTCAATAAATTGGACGAATGTACATATATAGAAAAAGATAGAGTTTTATATAACATTTTATAAGCAAAAGCATGTTTATAATATCAAGATCAAGATAATTATTTTCGTGATATGATAAAAAAGATCTTCCAAATAAGAGTTTAATACTAATAAGCGAATAATGATGTCACCACAGATTTTTAAACCATATTTATTAAGTAATTTATAATTGTTTGAATTTTCGACTCGTTAAATAAAAAATAAACACAAATTCTATAATATCATTCAGTTTATTGTCCTAAAGGTAAAAGAAAATATTATATCTTAATGTTAACAAAATATTTCATTTCTCCAAACAGATAATATAATACCACAATTATTCAATGTGAATGATAAATACTAGAAAAATTTCTCTAAAGATATATAATTTTCGTTGTTACTGCATAACATTCAGTGTATAATCCATAAAATAGATTTCCTTCAGCAAAGGCAATTCGTATTTAGGCCAAAAGTTTTTGGTCCACTTGTATAATATTTAAAATTGTATATCATTATAATGTACAGTAATCGCTAGAAAAAGTTGGCGCTATCGTTTGATGAACCGAGTGCACGGCAAGCTTGGGAGTGCGTACAAATAAAAGATATATGAGATAGTGGATGAGTAAAAATCGTACATATTGTAATCGTTATTACAACGGAGATGATGTGTTGAGAATATACAACGGGGGTGAATAAAGCTTTCTAAATAAATACAATTACAAGATTACAAGATCATGAGTTACATGCTATATAAATATATAAACTTTCCAAAGCACGTAAACGATTTGTTGCAAAAATTTCATGTGTACAGCGGTATATAATTACATAATAAATACAAAAAACAATATTTACTATTAACGAGATTAATCTTATAACGAGATGAGATTTATATTAATCGAGATTTTAACGGTCGTGTCTGGTTGTTACTCCTCATCCGTCGTCTCGTGCACCGACTTGGCTTCCTCGTCTTCGGACGCTTGCTCGTGCTCCGATTCGACCTGCTCCTCCTCGTCTTGGATCTCTTGCACTAAGGGCGCGTCGGTCTCCTCGTCGTCCACGATCTCGCATATCGTCACGGTGTGATCGTCGTCGTCGTCCTCGTCCTCGCTCCTCTCCTCCTCGTGCTGTTCCGCATCGGCTTTGGCTTCCGTGACTTCGGGCGCTTCCTCGTTGACGTCCGAATGCGCCAGATCGGCCTCCTCTCCGTCGTCCTTGGCGCTCGCGTTGTCCGCCTCGTCGAACTGTTGAGACTCGACCTCGCCGTCGGTGGTGATTTCCTCGTGGGCCGGAGCTTCGGCTATGGCCTCTTCGGGCTCGCTGTCGTACTGGGACCAGTCGAAACCTTGAGCGCCTCCGGCCGAGTCGTGGCTCTCGTGGACTTTGGGTGCGTCGGCGACGTCGCTGACTAATTCCGCGGCTTGTGGTTCCGAAGCTTGTTCCGATTCCGGTTCAGCTGTCGCTGCACCAGCGTCGATTTCGATTTCTTCGACTTGCTCTTGCTTCTGTTCTTCTTCTTCTTCTTGGGGCACATTCTCTTCGATCTGTAATTGTACGAACACGTTTTTGTAGCGTTGGGGATGTTACGTGGGCTTTGGCTTTGGAAAGTTTCGCAGAAAGGATAACAAGCTCTAAAGTGTTGTGTTATAATCATTCATTCGTAGATTTCGGCCTAAAAAAGTTTTTAGAAAAAATTCTGCAATCAAAAAGCGTTAATATAAGCGTATTAATACATTTTTCCATTTTATTTTCAAATTTGGATCGATGGAGTCGCACAGTAAAGCGGTGAAGGTAACTCATTGACAGGGACAGACAGTGGACATTTGTAAACAATTTAGACGTCACTTTGAGGGTTGATCGTTCTTTCCAAATGTTAGCCTTGACGTGTATAAAGAATTTAAAATAATCCCAGTTTTGTTGTTTAATTTTTTACGGAAAAATTGTGTGTCAAGCGAGTTGTTTTTAATTAGATAAGCTTAATTTATTTATTTGTCAATGATCGGGTTCGAGTACAATCTGAAAACAAGAAAGCAAAACAAAAAAGAATTTAATAATAATACTTCTGAGAGTTGCGTTGAAATAACAAATGTTCCGTGCGGAAAGACATAGCGCGTGGCGTGTTGCGTTTCTTGCGACACGTAATATCCGCTGTGGTGAGTTATCGTTCTTGACTTGGTCGACTCAAGCTTAAATAAAACGTGTGGTGGAATTTAAATTTTTGAACAAACATGTGCGTGTATTAACGTGTATTCGTCGTTTTCTTTTAAAAACGACCCAATTATATAACATTCAACGAAAAATGATGCGATTAATATTTCAATACATGCCAGATCGCTGCGTCGCAGTCGCGCTCGATCTTAATTACCTGAGTTTCTTCGTCTTGATCGACCTCGTAGGGCTGGTCCTCGACGTCTTGATCGACGTTCTCGATGACGGATCGCTCGACCTCCTGCACATCGTCGCTCACGACGTCGGCATTGACGACCCCGGACGAGGACGACAGGACCAAATTTGCCGTTTTGTCCTCGTCCTCCTCCTGCTTCTTTTTCTCCTCCTCTCGCTCCTTGGCTTGGCGTTCTTGCTCGTCGGCGATCGCTTGCAACACTGCTTCGTTGTACAATCTGAGGGCAATACCGTTTTCGTTTTTCAATTCGTTCGACCGCTTTGTTTCCGAAAAATTTGTAATAAAGTCGCACACCATACAAATCTCAAAGACCAATAATGTAGACGCGTCGATAATATGTTCTTGTATTTTTCAAAACAAACTTCGAACTTACCGGATCGAACCATTATGGATATGCTCATGAATGGATCGTCATTTTTTCTCGCTCAAAAATCAATGATATTATGTCGAGAAAAAAAAACTAGTTCGCTCGATTTGCTGTGTGTGGTGCATCTGAATCGATCATGAGTGAAAATCATGATGTTGATCGCAAAAACACACATTTTTAATCTTACTTTTCGTTTTCTTCGAGCATCAAGGCTTTTTGCTCCAAATTTTTATTTCTCTCGTTAACAAGCGCTTGACGCAGTATAACGTGGAACGACTGGGTCTCAAGCTTCTCTCTATTGAACGGTTACGTTTTTGCGAAAATAAAAGCGCTCATTATCGTGGGTAGCTAGTGTCATACGTTCATTCAATTTGTTTTTCGTATGAATTTTTTTCGAGCATCGCGTGCACAAAAATTAACGTAAAATAAGATCACCAAAAAAAGTCATATCGAATTTCTAGTCTAGATCAGCACACTTCGATATATGCACTCACGTAAGAAAACACTTGAGTGAAGTTACGTAAAGAAAAAATCATCTTACTTTTCATCTTCGACCATACGTTCGGCTTCGTGTCGAGCAGCTTCAGCCTTGGCAATGACATCTTGCCTCTCCGCCTCGAGCCTCTCCTGTTCCTTAATTTCAGCGATTCTCTGGTCCTCCTCGAGCTTTATAGCAGCCAATCTCGCAACTTCTTTCTCCTCGGCGATTCTTCGACGCTCGGCTAGTTCCCAGGCTCGTCTTTCTTCTTCCATTCTAGAGACGCATCGAGAGATGGAGGGAAGCGAGAAAGAGAAAAGCGAGAACATAAGAGTATTTGAACTTTTTAATTGGAGCTTCGTAAGATTGAGAGCGTATGTGCATTAGTTCGATCGATCGAAGAAAGTACAGAGTTCGAATTTCCAAGTTTTAATGGTATATGAAAATCATGCAGTGTTCGAGTTGAAGGTGCAAGTGCAAAATAGTCCGGGCTTTGTGCGGATTTCATTTTTAAATCCCTTTTTCGATGGCCAGGCGTTATAGAATATCGAATTGAATACCTCGGTGGCGCTTTGATGAGGAGAGAGAGACAGAGAGGAAAAATAAGTGATGGAGACAGAGGAGAATGTTACGCCTTGAAACTTCTTACAAAGATTTGCAGTAATCGCCGTCACAATTGAAATGCATGGGGTGATTTTTTTTTCTTGCAAAATCATTCAAAATCCAACAATTATTCAAACCAGCCTTTTTTACCTGAGATCATAATATTTTCGCGTTCTCAAGCGTCTTATGAAGTTCAGCGTATTATTTAGATTTTTAGGAGTAGGGTATACGTAATCTCTAGGTGGAGGGGGTTTCGCTACCAATCTTCGGATATAAGAATAGAAAAAAAATATCAATAATTACGTAAGTGAAGTAAAACGACTGTGTGAAGATGAAATGTAAAATAGAAAGTTGCTTCGCTGTATATTTATCGATCGAACCGATACTGCGGATACTCACTTTTTCTCAGCAGCCTTTTTGTCCAGGTATTCTTGCACCTTTTTGATCGTATCCTCGTCTGGTTCTTTTCTCACTAGAAAAATTTTACGATATTATTGAGTCAATCGGAAGAGCTACGTCTCGTGAATAATTTAGAGTATTTGTTATATCAACTACTATTTTACTGTACTAACGCATCGAATATTATCTTATAAAAATAATCGTTCAATCATACACGGACCCAAAAAATATTGGCATCGGCGTACTGATCAAAAACTAATCATCAGAAAAATAAAGGTTTTCGTACAAAAGCCGCAGTGCACCGGGAGATGTATACATATAAAGAATGAGTATTAGCCAGTTAATCGAGGAAAAAAGGGGGAGAAACCTGTCGCTGCAGTATAAACGAGGTATAGGTATACATCCAGATACTAAGATAACAATGGCGTAGGATTGTGTATCCGTATAGATACAAGCCATTGTAAGTCACGGAATCGGAGAGTAAAAAAAAAAAGGAGAGATGAAACATGAACGTACTACCATTCTCATCGTACTCTTGAGCCTCTTGCGTCTCTTCATTGTCCTGCACTGTTGGCTTGGCTTTTTTAACGTCTGGCTCGACTTCGATTTCCGCTTGAAGCTCGCTCGTCTTCTCGACTCGAATCTCCGCTTCTTTCGTGGCTGGTTCTGTACGTGTCGCGAGAACACACATATATACACACACATTTATGGTTCGTTTGATATACACGCGCATTTTCACATTTATTTATGAAGCAAGCGAGCTTGCAAATCGGAGTCGGGTAAACACTCGTTTTTCGTCGATCGACAAAAAGATCTCTAAGTTCGTGAGGGAGATTGGCTTACCTTCTCTACGATGATGATCGACCTCGTCTGCCCAAGTAACCGACGCGGCGGAAGCTACAATTTACAAAAACACACAATGTCTTATACACATGCGAAATGAGTCGTGTTGAAAATTTTGCATTAATTCTCGTGTATGCCTCTAAATTTCAGCTTTGAATTCTGTTTAAACTTTTTTTTACTTTCGTGTCTTGATTTTTTCTATGCGCTGTCAACTACGTAACTAGTAAGCATTTTTTGCGGAAAAAAAAATATTGATACTAACCAGGACGGTCCTCGCTAACAATTTCAACATGTCGTTCGACGGGTATCGATGGAGCTGCGTAAGAAACGGAAATATTACGGTGAAAATCGTGTCACATGTTGAAAAATGCATAAGCCCAATCATAAAGCAATTTTTTTTATATATAATATGCGTGCGGCAAAACTCCAGCCATTATAAACACATCGCAAGTTATTCAAAAGTTTATCAAGCTTTTTATTCAGTCGTTAAAGTAGCCACGTGAAATCGCAAAATTGCAAGAGGGTTAATAACGTTGCAGCCATTATTCCGAGTTTTTAAAATTTTCACGGAGGCTTCGTATCGAATATTGCCGCGAGCACTTAGCAATTATATCTACGCGCTACGAGCATTTCGAGTTTTTTTTTTGCTCTAAAATGATAATTTTTTTTCTTTGTTGCGATGCAAAAAGCTCGAGATGCGGTAAGCTTAAGCGCCAGCGCGCGCTGGAGATATTTTTTTTCCTCCACCCAGCATGGGTGCGTAATACCCGCTGTCGCGAATAGGATTATGCGTACGCTTTTCGTTGGCATAAGAGGCAAGGCATTCGTGGAAAAAGTTGCATTCAAACGCCATTATCGCATTTAATTATAATCGCATTTAATCATTATTGTTGTTAACATGTTCGATAGTACGATTAAACAAGGCTTATGTAAGCAGGCGGAATCGCATGAGAAGCTATGTGACTGTATGTATGTAAAAAGAAGCCTACTATCATGGAATTATTATTATATCGATATGCTCGGTTGACAGCTGATATCATGATGGGAGATGACGCGTACATTTTTAGAGTGTGCATCAAATCATATCATACGCGTATATGCATTCGAACGAATCACATTTCTGAGGGCAGTTTATACGCGTATCATAATTATGTGGAATCAACAACAGGTCGACGACGGTCTTTTATGTACTCGGATTGCGTCGAGCTCATGTTGAGACAGCGCCGGATGTGGCGGGGGGAGAGAGGGGGGGATTAGTGGACGTTGACGATGAGAAGCGAAAATAGATTCGTACGCAGTGATACGGGATAGCGAATCGATGATAACTTTCGTGCGGTGCGGCGATACATCGTGCGGCGCATAATATAATAATATGGGTGCGGCTGATATGGTTGTATTATTGTCGAGAGGGAGAATGGGTGAAGAAATTGCGCGCGGAGCATATGCAGTGCGAGATATACACAGGGCCTCAACTACGTCTCGTGTATGTATACATTCGTGTACACACACAGACAGACAGACAGACTGAGGCAGCTACAGCGGCGTATACTTTGTACAACGAGGAGTGCGATCCTAGGCACGCACCGCTCGCATTTATATACATGTACAGCATGCGTGAAAAGAATCGTATAATGCACCGCACATAGCAGTGGGAAACTGGGTTAAACTTTTTTTATTTTTTGGTTTTTTTTTTTATTTTCATTATTTTTCTCAAGTTTATTTTTCTCGCGTACGTGAACGTGGGATATAACAAACGGATACAAACGCAAACATGAATGGGTGCGAAATGCAGAGAGAGAGAGAAACAAGTTTATTGGGAGCGATTCCATTTGTTAGGCTGAATTTGCAAGAGTATGATCATAATCGCTGCGTGTTTTGACGCTCGAGTGACGAAAGAGAGATAGGAATTAGCTTTTTACACGCCCGGCCAGATACTGCACTATTGCGGAACTTTTTTTTCGCTCGCCTTTTTTTTCCCGGATTATCTAGATACGTACACGCTCAGTTACACGTTTTACCTCCCCCGTATAATACGCGTGACGCGTCGTGCACAAATACACTCGTACTCATACTACTGCAGGCGCCCGACGCTAAATTATAAAGGCCATAATGCTTTTGACAAATAAATTGTTTGAGAAATTAGGTCGCGTATATATATACGAGTGCGGCAAGATCTGTAAAATATCTTTCGGGGATTACGAACACTGCGAGCATTGATCTTGATTAACTCGCTCTATACTTATATTCTGTTTTCGTGCTTGAAAAATTCGTGACTGAATCGATTTTCGAACGACCATCTTCGCCAATCGTAAATTTTCTCTTTGTGACATTTATCTTGACTTAATTTGATTTCATCTTTTTTCTTTCCTTCTCTCTTTCTCATTTTTTTTTTTTTTTTTTTTTTTTGACAAAGCTAGCTATGTCTCCGTTCCTTTTTTCGTTCTCTTTCTTTCGAATAAACACTCGAGGTAAAACATTTGCGTTACGTTAGGCATGTGCTATCATTTCAAAATTCTTACCTCAATTTAGAAGAAATTTTTATTTCAAAGTAAGGGAGGTTCTTTATGTAAAGAGAAAAATGAGATTGGCTTTTTATCATGTAAATCAGAATTTATTTATTGTTTTCCGTGTATTTCGTCATATTTTCGTGTTACATCATATGATAAGTGTCGTTCGTGTATTTAAGAAGATCCGTCGTTCGCGTTTAGATTAAATCATGTTACACTCCCATTTTATGGAATCAAAAACGTATTGTAATGTAAAAATTGAAATTTTTTTTGTTTACAGAATAATGGTACAGCTATTATTTTTATATGTTGAACGGCATTAACAACATTGTTCTCCAGAGTCACATTTGTCGAGCCCAATTTTTCTTTTTCATTCCTTTCTTTTAAAATAAAAATTTTCAGAACAGCTCACGAGTGCTGAACAATTGTGTAATAATTATCCTCTTTTGTAAAGTGATAACTCATTTGAAGATTATAATACTCATTTACGCTAATTATACGTTTAAAGCACGAGCTCAATGCTATTTAAAAGTGGAAAAAAAGTAAACAGAAAATATACGAGCTTCAACAAAAAGCGGACCTTCTTCTACGCGTATGCGCGATGTGATATTATACGCATGTCAAGACTGATAAAAGTGTATGATTCGACTAAAAATTTGTACATTATTTTTTACGCGTGTGTGCATCATCGTATATATGTGAATGTGCACATTTTTTTATATATAGCGCGCATATTGTGCGCGAGTTGCGTGTATATATACGAGTGCTACGCGCGCGCGCTCAACGTAATGAGCGTGAGGGCTTGACGTTTACATAGGCAAAATTAAAACGAGGAGCCGGCGAGAAATGCGAGAATTATACAACTGGTAGAATTTATTTGCTTTTTTCGCGCGTATTTCGGTGAAAAAAAACTGTGCGCGAATGTGACGCTGCGTAATATGTAAATTAAGAGACGAGACAAAACAATATAGCTTTTATTATGATCAAAAAAGTGCACACATGCCGAGAGGGATATATATTTTTGATGGAGGGTGAGAAGCTCTCACAGAGACTAATGATACATTTATTATTAAAGTCGGAGAGAGATAGAGAGAGAGAAAGAGTTGAGACGTGTGGTCGAGGCCAAGGAACAGAGAGAGAGAGAAAGATAGAGAGAGATAGCTGTGCTGTGTGTGGCACAATAGGGTCTTGTGGAATTTTTAAAATGGATCGATGCAAAGGGGAGTTTTTATTTCTAAAAGTCTCATTCTTCGGGTTCTGCTTCCTCTTCGATTTTTGCTTTTGCTTTTGTTTTAGCCGAGGGATCCTCGTACAGCTCGGGTACGCGATTTCTCCAACCTGATGTTGGCTTGGAGGACGGCTTTCCGCCTGAAATTTTGAGAAAACTCGCTTGTTCTTTTTCTCTTTTCATAGTCCAACATCATGCATATGTTGCTTTTAATTACGCCTCTTGTGCTGTTTGCGTTTTCGGTTTTTGTGGAATTTTTGGCAGCTTCATTGCGAGAAGCGACTCGTTTTCTCGTTTCCACTTGTTTTCAAAGTTGCTTAATATCAAACGGGTCGTTGTTTGCGTGTAATTTCGAAACGATGGAAAATACATCATAATATAGGCATACTTCTAACGCTGAGGCTGTGTTGCATTGTGTTTGTATATAAGTTTTGTTACAGACAAAGGTGCCAGAAAGACGAAATAAAGACACTGATTCATTTACAAGTAGTAACAAAAATTGATAAAAAAAAGCACGATCACTTTTAAATCAAAACAACATGAAAAATAATAAAAATAAAAAAAAATCAAAAAACTACGACTATTTATTAGCCACGAAAAATATATTATAACGATGTTGTGTATAATGTTTGGTACAACAGGTAGACAGAGAGATACAAAAATAAAAATAATTAGACTCGGAAGTAAAAAAAAAAGATTATAAATAGTGACAAATCACACGACGACGACGTCTTGGGGCCGTCTTTATTTATGCATCAGTTATAAATATAAATAAAAATACTTTTTGCGAGCGAGAGCAAACAGTAACAATATAATGAGGCGCCATTCGTCACCACATATTCAGGTCTTGTGGGTCCATGTGCAATGACGAATGGCGCTCAAATCGCTCGACTGTATAAATAATTGCGGAAAAACAAAAAGTCGACACCGAAGGCGTGTTTTTTTTCGTGCCTATAAATAATAGCTACTCGCATAGCCGCGATTAAATCTTCTCGTTTTCATTCTTTTTTTTTTAACGCGATGCTAATTTAACACTCTCAAAATAATTGCCTGTACTTACATGCATCCTCGGCGGCTTTTCGATTTTTTGAATAGAAGCTCATGAGATTCACGTCGGACTTGACATCGCCGGGCACGAGATCGCCCACGGTGTAATACGGCCTGCGACGAGGTTGCGGTCTGCCGCCGGCATATTTGATACAGGCCAAATGTCCGCTGCCAATGTCACGTTTTTCCGGCGTGCTGTACCAGGGCAGGTCCGCGATGTCCTTGCGGGTATTTTTTGAGTTTATGATGCGGCGCACGTAGTCGTCGCTACGCAGACGCTCGGGTATTGTCGTCTCTTCGTAATCGCTGCATTATCGATCGATATAGGCAAATATATCATTATTATCAAAGGATGTACGAAAATATTGGCGCTGCTTTAAAAATACGTTATGAGCTCGGCGGGCAAATAAACGTTCAACGACGTCGAGGGTAATGAGAGATCCGTTTTGGCAGACGATGAGTTCCGAAATAGAGTCTTACTGACGTGCGAGTTCGCCGCGCGCGTGTGTATGTACGTATATAGTTCATCATACGCGATGTTAAAATTTTCAATGCTTGATTCACCAAGTTTACCGCTGATCGAAAAAAAAACAAAGTTATTTTTGAGAAAAATTAACTTCCAAGCGAAGTAAACTCAATAGCTCGGAAAATACGTCAGCTGCGCTGAATTTGTCTTACAATGCGAGAAAAAACTGCTGGAAAGAATTAAAGGTAACGAGGCCTTGATCTATCTGCCTCTTCAAGTACGTAGATACGCGCCCGAGCACTCGGCAAAGCCACGAATAGGTCGGAATATACTGTAATGAGTTGAAAAAATAATCTTGCAAGTTTTTATACACACGGAAGCCTTCTTTTCGAAAGCTAAAGTTGTTCTTTTGTTGCACCGCGGCCCCGCTTCTGGATGCAAGACTTCTCTCTCTCGTGCGCGCGGATTTCTATAGGATTTTGCGAAAATTAAAAAAATGTTCACAAGCTTTGCGGCGACTTTAACGTCCGACTTTTTAAATTATTATATGAACTTGAATAAAGTAAAAAAAAAAGTATAGTACAAATAAGTTAATATTTCAGCATCGTTTGTGCGCGTAGGTAGCGAGATAAATTGATTTTCTGTTTTACATGCCAACTCAATTAAAAGTTTGCTCTTACCTAACCGAGGGTCTGGGAACAAAAACGTGAATTTTGCGAAGAAGGTTGTCTGTCCTTGCTCGAATGTCTCTCGTCTCATCGTCAAAATCCTGCATTAATAATAAGAGTTTTAAAAATCAAATCTGCGAAACAATGGGCATTTAAATTTCAAATGTAACGATTCAATTTAAAGAACTAAATAAAAATGTTAAAAAAAGTTGTCCACTTGTGAGCACCACTCAATCCAACAAGTCGTGTTTAACCTTACTCACGAGACCAATCATCATTATTATTATCCTTTTCACGCTGACGTTACGCCGAAGATTATTAATTAAAAACGATAGTTGTGGTATTGCTTGTCCTTGTTCAATGTGTATAATCAATCGTATATAGATGAGTAGTTACAGTGTGAGACTTACGATATAGTTCCTTGAATTAAGGTAGTCCTCGGTGTAGGATTTGGTGGAGGGCCTTTGGAGGTAGCGTATCCTGTTGAGCTCTGCCGCGATGATGCTAGGTCTGACTCGCGCATGTAACTTAATGGGCAGATACGAGCCGGCGTGATAAATGCGCACCGGCGAGTGTACAATGCTGACGAGCCTCTTGTGTGCCACATACGGCATGTGAGGTGCCGACCTCAGCTATATACATGTCAGATCAAATTTTTGTTCGGTTTTTTTTTCTGTCTTTATCCTTTCTTAATTTTGTTCGATTCATGGCAGTTTTTTTTTGTATTATTTGCTTCTATTTTAATTTTAATAATAAAATCACTCTAACGTGTGCTCGCGTCGAGCTTGTTTTTAGTATCAAAGCGTAAAGATAAGTAATTATTCAAGGCAGCAGTGTATTATTGCGCAGCGAGAGAGGCTTTCATTTATGGAACTCTTTTTTTGTTCGTTCCTTAGAGTAGCTTTTTTTATATAAAGAGAGAGATCGAAAAGCTGGATAGCGCGAGAAGAGCTTTTTTTTTGAAGACTAAAGATTTTTATCTAAGTTGCCTCTCTTTTGACTTTCTTTTTTGCGCGTTCACTCTGGCAATCGCTAATTGCTTCATGAAGGTCTTTACAATTTTTCCTTTCAATCAACGGTAACACTAAATGTAAAATCTGTACGAAAAGAAGTTTTTACGTACAAAAAAAAATCAAGACCATAAAATAGTCCTGTTTCGAAAACTTTTTTACCTCCCGAGAATCGATCGGACAAATTTGACTTTGGTATACAAGCATGGATCGATGCATATTGAATTTTATGAATTATTAATAAAAGTGTAGCCCTTACGATAGCTTGTCGATCTAATTTATGGGTGCAAATTGAGTCGTTAATCGTAAATAAATGATAGTGATGTTAAATTCAACGCTATCTCATTCTTTAATCACATCTGCAATTAAGAGAGGCTATAACTTTGATTAATTCGGCCATTAAAAGTTTCATAAAGAATTAATAGTCGTATTTTCCTCAGTGTCGTTATTATTATATATCCACTGAGGGAGTGAAATTATCAAAAAATTAAGAAAAACACCCATTGGCGTCTTTCCTCCCTCCTTCTTTCTATTCGACTGGGCTTGCCACAATCTCATTATTTCCGAAGTAAATATCTTTCATCATAGTAAGAAAATCAAATTGATAATTAGGGGTTCAATGTGATATTTATAATTCATTTTTATATTTCATTATGAATAAAAAAGTAATATTTTGTAAAAAAAGGGCCTTCACAATGAATAGCCGAGAATATGCTGCCTCTATTGTACCGAAATTTCACGCCTGGATTATTTCCGCTTGTTCAACGTTTTATAGTACACGTTTAGCTTACCGAACCAAGATATATTTATAATAAATTAGTTGCAATTAAACAAAAGTCAGAGATAATAAGCAGCGTTGCAGTAGCAGAATCAGCAGGATACGCATAGCCTCCTCACACTGAATGTAAAATTAAAAAAGAAAAATATACGTGGAAAGATAATAGAGAGAAAAAAAAGAAGTTATTAAAAGCAAAACTGTTAGTGAAGTAATTTGCGTGGTATTATAGTGAAAAGTTGAGAAAAAAGGCACACTCTTGATTGAATCGAATAGCTTATATCATTAAAGTTGAATGAGTATGTTCTTGTACGAGATCGATCCGAACGAACGAGCGGTACACAAAGTTCAACATGGAAATTTTCATTCAACTTTCCTGACTATGCGGCCAATAGCATTGCTAATCGATAGAACTCATATAGTACTCACGAAGGGGCTGTAGGGAATCATTAAGTAGTACGGGCCACGTATCGGCTGCGTCGAGTGAAATAGCCAAGAGGAAAATCAACAGAACAACACACAGAAGTAGAGAAATGTATAAGAGCGACGCAGAGGTGGTGGTAGTTCATTTCGTTCGAGGAATTTGTTTTATTCATTTTTTTTTTTTTTTTTATAGATATGTACACACATATCGTCGTTGAGAATCAGAAGGCGTACCAGCACAGTTGACGAGACGACGACGACGACGACGACGACGACGTTCGTGAGTGTGTGTGTTCGGGAGTCGAGTGGAGCACGCGGCATACGGAATTCGCGTATGCAAACATACAAAAGAAAGACAATACTATAACAATACAAGTTTCTTTTTCTACTTGCTGGCATTATTATGGTCTTGATGTTACATATTTTTTCTCGAGGTTTACATCGATCATGGTTGCTGATGAAAAAAATTTCGAGCGGGCAAAACGAGTAAACAGGACGAAATGAAGTAATGACTGATGAACGCACAGATACAATTCATGTGATATGCTTATTAGACGTATCGAGATTACATTCATGTTTGGACAACACACCTACGGATGATGGGTGAGATGAACATTTTTGAGGAAAAAAAATGTGAAAAAGCTGCAAAGCAACTGTACGATTATCTAGCTCTACATCCTATATAAGATAGAGATAGAGGAAAGCAGGTGAGCGAGCTGTGATGTCTGCTGGTTGTATCTTTACTTTTCTTTCTCTCTATAGAGCAGCCGAAGCTGTAAAAACTACGCTCGCCACGTATTCCCGCTTGAATTCGTTTATTCCTCGCGCTACCCTCCTCCGCCTCCCCCGCACCGTCGCCTCTTTTTATCCCTCGCGTTCTCAAGAAGTTTGAGCTTTAATTATAAAGCTGTGGCTAGCCAATTATCTCCCGTTGTGTGTCTATATATAGATAGCGAGCGAAATGGTGAGTCGAATTAATCGTCCGTTAGTAATTTTCTAGTATATACGCTCCACGCAGTACTAGTGAGCGAGAGCGCCATATACTAACATAGCTGACCTTCTCACAAATGTTTGCTACTGGTTAGAAAAAGCTAACAAGCTGTCAAAGGAGTCGAAAAAAAGACTATTTCAAGCAGTATACACGTGTTAAACATCGGGTTAATGATAATTGATAAAAAAAGCAATTAATGTACAAGCACGAGCCGCGTGACTCGTTTACGTGTCGTCATTCGTCGAGTGATTTTTTTTCTACTCGTTTTCAACGCTTTTTTGCGTTGATGAAAAAAATAAATAAATACAAAACTATGCCATAATCGACCTTTTGAGGTGTTTTTTTCGTTCTTTTTCAGGATACACTGATATACACATTTCAAAAAAAAAAGGAAAGAAAGTTACCCATTAGGTTGGACATTTTTACATACAGCAAATGGAAGAACAAGGATCAGTGGGCGAAAGTGAATAACGGAAATACGAAAAAAACGATGATGCATTAGAATTTGAAAACAGCTTTGTATATTTGTCACAAGTAAGAATAAGATTTGTTATACAAATTGTAAACGCGCGTTGTTGTTTACCTCGGACTCGATTCATTGCCAAAGTTTGGCATGGCTCTCGCACACGCTATCCACATACACATATACACAAACGCACACTCATATCAAGTTTAAAAATTTGGATGACGAAGATGTTGAACTATTTCGTAAGATCATAGCACATGCTTGTGTTTCGATGTCTGCGCGTAGGCTAATTATATATTCGTAGAGATATTTATTTAGACATTCGAATCATTCGTCAAGTTCAAGAGCTTGACATGTATGCGATATAACAATGCTATATTCCTTTACAATTATACGCTTCAAGGTCTTTGTTTACTAAAAGTATTAACGCAGCGACGATCGACGAAGAAGAATACATTACTATATCGACTGTTGCTTTTGAATATAAGATAATTTGACCGACCCTCTGCCTCTCTCTTTCTTTTCCGTCATTTTTTTTGTGCTCATCAAAAGGGATGTCAGTTGCAAAATTATGAATATATACGAATTTAAATGTTGAAACGTAGAAGCGACGAAAAGAGAAAGATAGAGAGAGAGACAGAGTGATGACAAATTTCTAGACTATGATGCTCAAAGTCAAAGGAAAAGTTCAGCGACGGATTTTACAGTTCGAGTTTCTTTAACGACGAGGATATATACGAGCCTCTCGCAGAGAGGAAAGCTGCTGCGCAGAGAGTTATCGGTGTGTCGAGGTGCAGCGACGACGACGACGACGAAAACGAAGACGACGATGACGAAGACGACGATGACGTCCAGCTCGTGGTGCTCTCTCGGTAAGTTTCCTTAGGATAGCTCAGAAGCGTCGGCTTCATTTTCGCCCTCATCACGCTGATTATACGCACGGCGAGCGGCGCGCGGCTGCATAGCCGACTATGCAGCTCAGAGATTGCACGAAATATGTCTATAGATATCCTTTCGCCCGGCACACCAACTTCTTTGATCTTCGAGTAAGAGAGAGAGAGAGAGAGGGTCTTATTAAAAGCATTATACATATATGAGTATAGGCCAGGCTCTCTGCGATAAACTTCAAGACGTGACTAGATCGGCTTCGAGCTTTGAGCTTTACATAATGTCGATAAATTTTTGCGCGCGTCTACTCTCTATCTCATGTGTACTTTTCTCGTCGTTTACAATCGAATATTCCCCTGGGCGAGGCCAGGCCTGACGTTGTCATGCGTCAACGATGGAAAAGTTGGCCGTTAATTAATTTTCACGCCGCTGCGCGCGTATAATACGGCAGCGCGTGGGGTAATTCAGCCGATCGCCGGAAGAATTAATTGCGACGCGCGCGTGGTTGGCTCATTACGTATGGCGTTCGATGTTTGTCGCTCGCACGCCTACAACGTTTGGACGCGCCACGCCATTGCAAAACAAACTCGAAGCTATTACGCGTATGTATGATGGGTGTGACCGAACGCTCACTCAACGCACCCTCGCACAAAGAGTCCGTTCAACGCGTCTTTCCGAGTGTACAATTGTATCGCTTCATAACTTATAACTACGCAAAATAATAAACCGACAGCTTTGCAATGAAGAAAATCGATACAAACAATAGATTGGGTTAGTGAAAGATCAAAAAGAAGCTTACGAGTTATAAATTACGCGCGCAGCATCGAGCGCGCTGAGATAGCAAAAAAAAAAAAGAGTAAAAGAATCATCGATTCGTCAGAGCTGGTCCTAGACGCGATAAGAGAAGTGACGGTAGGTGGTGCCGCCGGGAAGCCTGCCGGAGGTGGTGCTCTCGTAGCTCGAGCGGTATCCGCCTGGTCCGTCGCCGGAGGACGACGTCCTGGAGGTGCGCTCGGTCGTGTAATTGCCGTAGGGTCCGGACTCGCGTTTCACGCGGCTCTCGTTGGTGTAGCTCGTGGACTGGGGCCTGCCGTAGGCGTCGCTGCCCGTCCTGCTGCTGCTGTTGGTGTACGAGTAGCTGTACTGCTCCTGGGCCGAGCGCACGCCTCGCTCGGGATAGTCGCGTACCACGTAGTGCCGGGGCGTCTGTTGGTCACGTTTACAAACAACATATTTCTCTCTCGTTTTTTCTCATAGCTTTTTTTTTTGTTTTTTTGTTTGTTTTTTTTTCGTATTTTTTGCTGGCTTCATTGCGCCTGGATTATGGTTTTAAAGCGATTTGGGTTTTTAATTTCAGCGGTTAAAATCTTTTCGCAGAATGAGAGAGAGAGAGAGAGAGAGAGAGAGAGAAAAAAAAGATATTCTGGGCAAGGAGTTTGCAGCTTGCTATATATAGGCACGCACGAATGTAGGTATGCTACTGCACGAAGTTCTTATTAAGGAGATTAAAATTTTGCATTGGACAGAGTGTAGAATAGAGATTAAGTTTTATTTTTATTTCCTCTGTTAGGAGCTTGATTATTTGCTTTGGCTTAAGCGCGTTATTGTTACATGTGTGCGTTTGAATAGAGAATTTACATGAATATAACTTTTTCCGTATTTGTGCTTTCTTCAAGCCAACTGTACAAAAAATGCTGCATTGTATGAAAAATCTTAACGATATTTAAAAAAAAAAATCCATAGGCTCCGTTCACTGGGCTCGATAATCCCGAAAAATGTGATCGATCGGATTAGATTTCATACGGATATCGACTTAGAAGTGAATTTCTATGCAAATTCTCTATTACGCAAACCCAAGCAAATCTGGAGTGTACGAAAATTCAAGAGTGATTATATCTTATTTCCAACTATCTGCATATATTTTCTAAAAATATAAAATAAAATTCAGCTCACCCTGAGTGAATTTGACGATATAAAAAATTATGAATATAACAGTAAGTATAGAATAATTATTCAGATAAATTGAATGATGCAATATAATTTAAAATATTTTACGCCCAATTCTTTTTTGATAGCAATGCATAATTAAATTCACTAGTTTTGAAGTAACATTAGCATAGTACGCGTCTGATCAAACATAGATTTATTCACTGTAAAAAGTCCTGAATATGAAACGAACAAAAAAATGAAAAATTAATTCGTCAATTTCTTCGGAGGTAAATAATACAAAAAGACCTTGTACATTTTTCACAGTTACTATAATAATATACTTTTCTAATAATATATAATTTTCTTTTCACAAAATTCCATTCAAATGAATTTGAGGATCAATAGGAATTTATTTTTTAACTCTTTTGGTAGCAATTTCGATTTGTCGCTCGTATCGATTTTCCACGATTGCGTTGTAGAATAGCAGTTTTTTCTATTCTCTACCATCTATCCATATTCCTCAATTTTTCTTTCATCACTTCTACTGTTATAACCGCATACACACGTGTGAGCTTGCAACGTGCGCAGGATGTGGTAACCTCGAGAGACACCCGAAAACTCATGTATAGAAATTTACTCATTCTACCGAAAAGTATAAGTATCCCCTAATATGTCTCGAGATATCAGCGTCGAATAAGGAAGATAAAAATAATAAGCAACGGTAGGAAATATAGAGAAAAAAAATACGTGAAACGAGACGTGGTTAGTAATATAACG